GCAATCGCCGGAACCTCATGTCAAATTTCATAGAGATCCGCACTATATTTTCGCTCTCTGGTGTAGTAATGGTAATACTAACCACCTGTAATTATCTTAGTATAACTCACACATCCGTCTACATACAGCATACATAAATGATATCAATACATAATTAGTATCAATTTAAAAGTGTATGTCCTTCAGAATTAAATATATATATATATATATATATATATCATACAATAAACATTTTGTAATTTTTCACTCAAAAGTCCATTCGACCCGCTAAATATTGACCAATCTTCATCAAAAGAGTGATTCTTATTTCATGGTTAGACCGCTCTCTGTATAAAGTTTAGTGATGCTAGTGTCATAATTGTGACCTCTGGAGCGACCTGAAAGGCCAGAACCTGATCTACGTAACGATCTATAACTGTGGCCGTGTTTATAAATTATATACTGATGGACACACATGTCCAGATCGATTCAGCTGGTCGAGATATGATGATCGGTGTAATAAATGGTAGGTCAAGATCCAATATTTAGCGGCGTTACAAACTCTTGTGTAGAGTATAATATTTAAATTTGTGTGCACTGGGAAATCTATTTAACTCTAAGGAATAAAAAAATATCCACCAATATATACATATTTTTAAGAAATTGAAAATACCTCATATCCTTGCCATTGCTCCCTCCAAACATATTTCATGATCCAACATACGATTGTCGAATAAGATGGACTTACAAAAATGCCACGTTAATATTAATGATGAACACAAGATTGTCATCCACCGTCCGTGGCTTAAAGATAATGCCACACATTTTGCTGATGTTGTTCCTTGTTCGTTCGATGGTCGAACTTTTGACAAAGGCCAGTAGCAAATGGTGTTATGTATCGAACATGAAGTGTGCTATAGGCTGTTACTTAATCATCTTCTTCAATTTCTCGTTATTGATGCTACTTCTTTTTTTTGTTCTTTGTTGTCGGTAGTTATTTTTATCGATTGTTGCTGTAATGAAAAATCGTTTTAACTTAACAAAATGTTGTTTTAAGTAAATGATAAAATGCATATCAGCAGATATGTTGGTCTGTGTTTTTAATTGAATAATAAAGTTGAGCCCTGAGCATTTTTGTCCAAACATATAAATTGCATTTATGGATTGCAATGTAGATGCAATTTTTTCGTCCTCCTAAATTTGGGAAAGAAATATTCAGATCTATTTAAATACGAAATATCATAGTGTTATGTCTTCCCTATATAATTATAAGTTCACACTTTCAAAGTACTTTAAAAATTTAAAAATCGGATTATTAATGTGGCATATGTCACTCGGTTTCAGGTGTGTCATTATGATATCCTGGTACGCTATTTTTACATAATCTGGACTCACTTTTTATACCCGCCGAAAACCCATCCTAAACCCACCTTTAAGTTTACCATGAAGGATGGGTTCGGGCCATTACAGACCTCCATTGGTTTTGGTAAAGATCGGTTAATATTTGGGGGATGAAATGGTCGAAAAACTTTATTTTTGTATGATTTCCTTGTCGCTCCAGAGGCCCAAACATCGTTACATGGAGAAGGGGATAGACCAAAGAATACACATGCCTGTTTTGATAAGGATCGGTCAATATTTAGCTGGTCAAATGGACCCTGACTTTTGTGTGAAAAATTACAAAATCTGTATTCTATGACGTTTATATTTACCCCTGCAGGATATAGACCCGAGTTGATAGTATATCCAAGAGGAGTGGTTGAACTTTAAATTGATACCAATATTGTCGTATGTACTCGGATGTGGGAATTACACTTAAATATTTACAGGTGCTTAAGTATTCATATATTATATTATTTAGTAAGCCATTACCACACTAGAGTGCGGAAATATATCGCTGATCGCTTTGAAATTTTCCATGAGTTCTAGTCTTGGTCAAGAACAACGCCTTTAATTTTCGGTGATGATCAGATAATAATTTTTGGATGAAGTGGACCGAAAACCTAATGTTTTTTTTTTTCGAGTCGATATATGAAACAATTGAAAGCCGAATATCACAACACAACCCACGGTGAAGGGAATATAGACAATTAATTAGAAGGGCTGTACTGAATATTCGTAATATTTGTTGACCTCTAGTCGGTCAAGAGGGTGCAAGTATACCGAAATATTGCCCAAGCTCTGAATATAGATCCACAGAATGTTAGATTTTCGTGGAAGTTGTATAGGGTATCATATGATCGGCCCCGTCCGACTATACTGCTCCGTTCAATGGTTTTCTAATAATCATTTTATACCTTGTACCGAATCCGAATATAATTAAAACCACGACAGATATAGCAATATTTATGATAGTTCTTTGAAACAGGCGTTGCACAGACGTTGCTACTACTCCTAGGATTTTGGCATACCTCCAATATAACGATAGGCCTTTTTTATCAGTTTCCCGGTTATAGTCCCATTTTCAACCGAAATTTAAAATTACTCGTCCATGTTTTGACACTATATGATAGTCCCACACCACTTTCAGTATGTCCCGCCCTATTTTCATCTAGGGACCCGAGTTTAACATAGCCGTTTTCCAAAGTTCTCTTCTCATTTTATTTATTGTGCACCAAAGGCCCTATATATTTCGATTTACCCGAAATTATGCATAGTATATTCAATTTATTTTGAAATTATGCGTGTTAAGTTTCGATAGAATCAACTCAGATTCACATATATCTCCGAAGTGTATTTTTGGCCGATTTATTTTTAATTTGCACCAAACTCTCAAGGGGCCTGTAGACAAAATGCAATTTTGTAGAAAGCTTCCTATAATTCAAAATCGATGGCAACAAACTAACATAAATCTTATAATTTATATTTACCCTAAATACGACCAGCATATTCCCCATTGAAAAATGATATACCATTTTATAAACAATTATATACTGCATTATGATTTCAATATACAATAACTGCAAGGCAGCCATCATGACAGTAAACGCCATGGCAAAATATACCAACATTAAAAATCAGATCAATTTAAAAAGAAAAAAAATTGAAAAACAACTATTAAAATTGAGTAAAGACCCCCCAAAGGAAAACAACAATAATAGCAGAGTAAATGTTGTCCGGCTGTCTATACGCCCATTACAATCTGGCTATGTCCGACTTTGTGCCCACATCAGCCATTTGCAAGCACTCTGTTATTGAAATATCGATCGCCTTCGAATAAAAAAAAAACTGAAACGTGCAGCAAAACTTTCCTACCACTACAAACCCAAGAAATCGAATTCCTATTCGCAATGTATGAACGAAACTCTCAGAAGAAAACAATAAATATATTATTTCCAAGGAACATACCAGCAATTGTTGCAGTTGCAGCCATTGCAAATCGCAGCATAGAAATCAATACTTGTTGCTCTCTAAATATAGCCAATAAAAATTGCGGCCAACAACATTTCGATTGCTGACAGCCTTTTGCGAATAAGACAAAATGAAAATCGTGCCACGACCATTGTCTAAAGTTAAGAGCGTCAAGATCGCCATAATACCCCGAGTGAGCTATCATTGCAACTTAACATGTATCCAGCCAGTCCGGCTGTATCGCCAACAGAGTGAGGAGCGAGAATTTAATTGCAGTGCTTAAATGTTGACTGTTGTTGAAGCAATGCAGCTTGCCAGCATAAGAAAAAATGAAGGAAAGGAGTTCCGTTTCGTGTTCAATTGTCCCAAACATTGGCGGCATAAGTTTTACAGCCAACGGCAACATTTTGTAGTCAATTACAATATAAATGTTGCTATGTTGGAGATACAATGACGTTTTATGCCAACATAATGTACAGAGTTGCCATGGATTAGCTTCAATAGGGATGTACTAGAAGAGAATATTAATTCCAATATATAATTCTTAAACCAGTTAGCAAAGAAGAAAAGTCGGACGGAACCGACTATATGCTACCCATCACCTATGTGGGTGCATACAAGTGATGCTACTAAGATTTTTATTCTAACATATTGCAGTATTTAATATGTATTTTTTCTCAATTGGACAAACTTTGGAAGTTTGATGCGCCCTTTACATAAAATCGGACGAAACTATATATTGGAGATATACCTAAATCTGAACCCAGTTCAACAAAACTTTGCAAACGTTAAACTGTATTTAATTCAGTACGATGTGCAATATATTGTGCCAATTGGACAAATTTAGGCAGTTCAGTGCACCGATTTAAACTCAATCTCTACTTAATTCAGAACACTGTGCAAAATTATATTGTGTAATCGGACAAACCTATCTATGGGAACTATATCTAATTCTGAATCGATTATCTTCAAATTCAATCCAGTTTGTCCTTTGGCCGAATATGTAGTCTGTGCCAACGACGTAGTCAGAGGGGGCCCTGGGGCCCGGGCGCTATTGGGGACACTATTTTACTTTTTAGTGACCACCTTAATGACATATAGTGTGACCACCTGAAATACGACATATTAATGAAATGTTAGACGTAAAGATTACTACCATTTAAGTTTTTGTCATTTTTTTAGTCCAAATTAAATTGTCACTTTTTATCGAATATGGTTGAATATTAACAATATTTTAGGCCAAAAAAGTAAAATTTAAATATTGACCCGACGTCAAGGAAGTGAACGAAAAAAAAAGCAACATCAGCAGAAATGGTTCGAAAAGTAAAGAAGCGACGTGATCGAAACCTCCGTCGCAGTGACCGAAAAATGGCTCGTGTGCTGAACATATCGCAATATTCCATTCGGCAAATATTGAAAAATGAGCTCGGCGTAAAGCCATTGAAATTTCAGAAAAGTGCAAGAACTTGCCGTTCGTATTAATCGAACGTGACATCAGAATAAATAACGAATATTATCTCGAAAATATTCTGGAGGGTGTATTAAAGCCTTGGTCACGCAAACATTTTGGCCGGAGAACTTGGATATTCCAACAGGACTCAGCCGGAGACAACGGATTGGGTCTCCGGAGCCAATCCGTTGGACTAATGTGTCTGGAGTATTTTGGAATGTTGGACTAATGTGTCTGGAGTATTTTGGAAAGCAAGGTTGGCACTAAAAAATACCAAAGTGTCGACCACCTCAAGCAAGCACTTCGCTGGGAACGGGCCAAAATACCGCTGAGCAACATTTGGACAGCGTGTGACGGTTTCCTTGGCCGTTTGAAGGCCATAATTCGAGCCAAAGGTGACCAATTCGAACAAGTCTAAACTTATTCTAAAATTTGATGCTATTTCCGACATTTTTGATTTCATTCAATAAAGTTTAAAAAAATGTAAAAATTATAGCGTTTGACTTTGTTGTAGTTTTTTATCTCACCCTGTATATGTATGTCAGCCGTCAAGAACCATACTGCCGTCACGTCGTGGAGAAAATGCAATAAAATCATTCAAAATACCAAGAAATGGTCTCTACCATTATATGGGAGCTAGACCAGTAGGTACGAAAATTTTACACCCCAGAGAACCTAAAATATTAAATCAGAGCCCGCCCATTCGGTTGAAAAACGTGTACAAACTCCTCATAATACCGAATATTAGGGTGTACCATTATATGGAGTCTATCCGGAAACTAGGGCCAATATTGAATTGGTTTGGAGAGTATATTTACTACTACATTAGAATCCAAAATATTAAATTACAGCTAGTTTTGTAGAAACGCGTACCCTAGCTCTCCAAAATACAGGAATTTGAGATGTGGTGTTTAATGAGGGCTAACCTAAAAAGTGGACCAATACTGTTTTGAGTAAGAACTTCTTTTTTCGTAGATATTTCCTTGGGTGGTTGGAAAATGTGCAATATAATTTTAGAGTTGCACATAAAAATTTTGATGAATTTCGTCTCCCTTATAAAAATTATATTTTTCTCTTAAACCGTGCTCGTTTCATATTTATATGTGCTTTTGCAACAAAAAAAATCTTTCTCCTATACAGATTTTCAATTAACGGGTTTTTTATGGGGAACCACCATTCTCGGGATCAAACATTTTTTTATTTAATTCGAATCTACACTAATTCAAGAATGTCCCTACAAAATTTCAAGTGAAAATCTAAAGAACTCTTGAAGATATTGTGTCAGCATCAAGTGACGGCTAAAAGGGCTTCTTTAAACGCGTTTTTCTCTTTTGCGAATGGCGGGCACGATAACTAAAAACTAATAACCCAATCGGTTCCAAATTTTGCAACGTTTCTCTGGGAGTGTATAGCTCTCGTATGAACTAGGATAAAGCCAATCGGTGAATATCTTCCTTATTTTTTAACTTGGTTCTTGGTAAAAAATCGGCGATTTTCCAAAAATATTTTTTTAAAGGTCCGCCATTTTGTTAATTTTAGAGCGAAGTCAATAATCCTAGTTCATACGAGAGCCAGACATGTACTCTTTCTAACACCGTTGGAATTTTCGGATTCCGATGTTCCAGTGGGGAGTTATCATGCCCGCCATGAAAAATAAGGACTTCTCTTTAATTACAAAAAAAAAAAAAACAATAACAAAATTTTTTTGTAAATTATTTTTCTTCTATTTTAAATCTTCAAATATATATGTGCAAAGTTACAAACATTAACAAGCATTGGTATTGGTTTACCAGCCCAGTGCATATGTATGTAACAGGCAAAAGGAAACGAGATAGACACTTGGTTTCTTTTGAGAATATGCATAGAATCACTTTCTAAGTCGATTTATGCATGTCCGTCCGTATGTCTGTCTGTCTGTGCATGTTAAATTGTAAACAAAGTACAGGTCGCATTTATGATCCGAATTGGATGAAATTTGGCATAGGTCACTTATTCGGCCCAAGGACGAACCCTATTGAAATTGGGAAAAATCGGATCAGATTTAGATATGTCTCCCATATATATATTTAACCGATTTAATGTAAACGGTCCCTATATATATTTCGATTTGCACGAAATTTGGTACATCCTAATCATTTAGGTCTAGAATGATGTCTGCCAAGTTTCGTGAAAATCGGTCCAGATTTAGATATAGATCTTATATATAGTTTCGTCCGATTTCATGTAAATGGTGCACCAAAGTCCCTATATATCTTTCGATTTGCACGAAATTTGGCATAACGTACTGAATTAAGCCTAGAGAGATGCCTGCCAAGTTTCGAGAAAATCGGTCCAGATTTCTATATAGCTCCCATATATAGTTTCGTCCGATTTCATGTAAATGGTGCCCCAAAGTCCCAATATATCTTTCGATTTGCACGAAATTTGGCATAAAGTACTGAATTGAGCCTAGAGTGATGTCTGCCAAGTTTCGCGAAAATCGGTCCTGATTTAGATATAGCTTCCATACATAGATTCGTCCGATTTTATGTAAATGGTGCACCAAAGTCCCTAAACACCCTTCGATTTGCACGAAATTTGGCATAACGTACTAAATTGAGCCTACAGTAATATCCGCTAGTTTCGCGAAAATCGGTCTGGATTTAGATATAGCTCCCTTTTATTATAGATTGATTTTAAGTAATTGACGCACCAAGGAACCAATAGGCTGATAGGAACAAAACGTTCTGAAATTATAACCTAACCTGTGACAAGTTTGTTTGAAATCGCTTAATATTTTGATAAAGCTCCCATATATATTTTCGCCCGATTTCAAGTAAATTGGGCATCAAACTGCTCATGTTAGTCAGATTGACATCAAATTTTGCACAACTTACAAAATTGAGCATAGAATTGCGTAGTTGCGTTTTCTAGAAGTCTAGATATAGCCCAACGGATGACCTATTTATATTTGTTTGAAGTCGATTTACATACTTTTGTCCCATTGTAACATACGAATGACATGTTAATGGATAGATCTAGGTAGAATCACATTTAGATAAATATCACATATTTTATATCATCCAATTTCATGTTAATAGTCCTGCTTAATATACCCATAGTGGTGAAGGGTATCATATAGTCGGCCCCGTCCGACTTTACTACTTTCTTTACTGGTTAGTTTTAATTAACCGATTTTTTCGATAAACCGGGGTTCGCTTATCCAAATTCGACTGTATATTATTTGAGCAGAATATTTCGAAGTGTTGCAAAAGGAAGCAATTGTTATATACAGTTAACCTTGTAGAAAGTAATGAAGGCATTAAGTCACATACGATGCTATGTCAATAGATTTCCTGAAAAGTTCGGTTTCACCCTCCAAGAACATGGAATGCCAAATTATAGCCACTTCGGTATTGAAATGCAGCATAAATCTTGGAAATGATTTGGGATCTTTATATTTTGATACAGACCCCATATGTCAAAACATGGACATACAGTGTAAAATTTCAGCAAAGATATTTTCTCTCTCCAAATGTCGAAAATGACCAAAAATATCGGTTGAAATTACCGATTGTCAAATCATGGACTTGTCGTTGAAATTTTCCAAATACCAGAAATTGGAGCAACATTTATATGGTGACTGTGTGAAAATATAGACCTATATTGAATATTTTCGACGATGTAAGATAGGAAAAAAACCTTCAAAATACCCTAAAATGTTTATTGTTTATGATTTGCATTGTGTTGAAGACATGTAAATGAGTATAAATGTAATTGAAGAATGAAAGAATAAGAAAATAAAGTATGAACTATGATTATTAACTTCGCACAAAAATTAACTAAATGGCGGACCTATGACATTTATATTTTGGAAACCCCCCTTTACATATACATTTTTAATATTTTTAAAGTGGCAACTCTGTCATTTTATACAGTCTGAACAAAATGGCTGTACAGCAAGCAAGACAACTCCCTATTATCAGGCAAATCGATCGAAATGGAATGTGACCAAAATGTCAGTGCAAAAAAACAAGGAATGAAATAAAAATTAAGAAAATTACCAATAGGCATTGGACGACTGTTGCAACTACTGGTCTCCACAAAAAGAATGACTATAAAAGTTTACAATTCAATTTTAGCGGTAACGGGAAAAACAATTTAAATTGCCAAAACTAGCAAATGTCGGGATATCGTTCAAATCGATTTTCAATTCCAAAACGAGCAAACTTTTGTACGACGACTAAATAAAATGGATTTCGAAACATGTAATTTTGTTATCCCCCTCCATAAATACAATGCAAAGCAAAACAAAAAAGCCAATCCAATGGGGAAATTTATATTTGGAAGTAAAAAAAATAAGATTTGAAATTTTAGATATCTAACGTCACGTTTTAACAATCATTGTCGAAAAACCCCTGCAATTTGTAAGATCAGCAGAGATCACAATGTCCTCTGGTCCACGGCTGGCCAATCATTGCCAGTCCGTTTGTCAGTCACATTAATGTTAAAAGGTTGCATGTGTTGTTGCACTGTTGTCGAATTTAGGTTTTGCAACGAATGGCGGCTCTCCACCACAAACAACAACAACAAGAACCATTGATAAATTGGAAATTATTGATCATTTGCGATTTGCAGTGGGATTTGAAAATTAAATGTTCGCCAATTTGTGTCGAATTTTCTTTACTTCGAATGATCTTTAGCGTAGCTTATATTTTTATGCTGTTTCATTCACTGACTGACTGAGCAATCAAGTATAATTTTAAATTTCTACGTGTCATTTCGAACTTAGACAAATTCGAAAGGGTTTCTTTGCAATAACCTTTTTATTATCCACTACGAAAATTATTATAAAACTATAAATTAACAATAATTTAAACAATTTCACTTGGTCTCAATTGTCTTTATGAAACAACTTTTCATTAAATGATCGTGCTGTGGATGCTTGAATAACAGTCATCGTTTGTAAATTCCTTCCATCAATATTTTATTTTGATATAATTGTGAAAAGATTATGGCTCTAAATACTTTGAAAATGTTACTGGCGAACAAATTATTCGCAAAACATTCAGACGGTGGGAACTTTGAAATTATAAACAATACAAAATTGACTTAATGATGAGATGTTATTTTAATGTGGTAATTTTGTGGGTGTCATAAACATTTGCAAAGATAATTATGTAAACATTTTCATTTGAAAATATTTCAAAATATTATATTGCGAACGGAAACTTGTGCACAGTTTCAAAGCGAAGAAATACTTTTATATATCAGCTTTAGATCCGGTTACCGATTTGAAAGAATCTGCGCACGAGTTGTATGTCTTTTTTACAACCTTACATCCTTGTGTCATCTTTTGTTATAAAATTAGATAAAATCTTAATAATTAGTTGATTCTATAATATAAACATTTTATTTATGAGAATTTTTCAAATTTGTTTCTAAAATTGTACACTAAATTGTTAATAGGGGAGACTGGAACAGCTTCGACA